TCTGGTTTAAATGCATATATCTCACGAAATTTTTGACCTGGGACCACCAAATTTGGTGCCAATGTAACTTGAGGCATAAGCTTGTCAGTCGGTCACATATCGGCTGACCTTGACCTCATTGTCATGGTCCAGTGACCAGGGTCAAGTTATCATGATTAGGTCAGTTTCTCAGTAACAAGGTATGGTAGGCCAATAATATTTGGAGTGTGAAATTCATTGTTAGGTGTACATGTCAGTCTTACATATGTCAACTGACCTTGACCTCACAATCAAGTTTTTGTGATTATGTCAGTTTCATCGGCAGTAACTAGGTATGGTAGGTCAATATTTGCTGTATGAATTTGTCATAAGATGTACATGTCTGTCTAACATGTGTCGAGTAGGTCAGTTTGACCTCATTGTCGGTGACCAGGGTCAAGTTTTCGTGGTAAGGTTAGACTCTTAGTAACTAGATATGATAGGTTCATAATATGTGGTTTGCGAATGTGTTGTAAGGTACTGACCTTAAGGTCATTGTCATCGTCCAGTGACCAGGATCAAGTGTCCGTGAATAAGTCAGTTTCTCAGTAATTAGGTATGGTAGGTCAATAATATTTGATGTGTTAATTCCTTGTAAGGTGTACATGTCGCAGTTTGACAGGTGTCAACTGATAATGACCTCATTCTCACAATCCATTTACTTTGGTCAAGTTTTCTTATTTTGATGCATTTAAGGATCCAGTTTTGGATTTCTGATAAGCTTACATCTGTGTCCACGTCCATATTAAGGCGAGACATCTTCGTGAGTCTGTAAAAGTCAAATCCCCAATTCTTTGTGTAAAATGGAGGATTAAATTCCTGTTTTATGATTTTGTCTCGCCTGGATCAAAGTCACTTAAGGCGCGACAAAGGGATTGTTTTTTATTGTCCCAGTATTTTATTGATCTAATAGGCAATAACACGCGTCTGTCCGCCATCCCTTTCTGTGTTTCTCCTCTGAAGTCCTTTTGCGATTGGTAAATTTGGTATGGAAGATTTCTCAATGAACAGAAGAATATATTGCATTTGCGTCGTGATTCTTGTTTTTTCTTGCCAAATATTGTAGGATTAAACACATTTTTTCTAGAGGTTATTAATGTGTAAACCGGGGCGATTAACTCACAAACTGAATAAAAGTCCGAAGGACTTTTATGTAAAGTTTGTGAGTTAAGAGACCCGGTTTACACATCAATAACCTCTAGAAAAAATGTGTTTAATCCTTATAATTCTTAAGCCAAATATTTTTAATTAACATTTTTTTGTGTAAAGGCTACTATAATTACCATCAAATGAACAATTGGCAGGTCGTAACTAAGGAGTTGGCCGCCATATTGACTTTCTAAAATCCATAAATGTTCGATAAATGCAACGGAATCTAAAATGAAATAGCACCTACCTCCAAAACTTCATTTTATTTAGATATTATCCGAATTGAAAGCGTACAAGTAACGAAGTAATCTTTCCCTTGAAAGTTTTCATTCGTATGACGTCGTGTTTTGCCATGACGTAAACTCGCCAAATCATTCATGATATTTCGCGGAATTTTATTTAAATTTTAATTTTATACATTTTCGAAGCTTTAGTGCATTTATTTTATTCATTTCTTGTTATAAATACATTAGAATAGAAACAACTGTTATGCATTTGTTTTTTTAATCTCAATTTGCTTAAATTCCCAGGATCCCTGCAAGCATGTGTATCGCGCATGAATAGATTACGAAAGTAGTTTCGGTAACATGGTTTATCGAAGTGTTAACCAACAGAAAAATTCTAATTGACCAATCCAATTCAAGTATTTATAGATATGCAAATCATATAAGAATTATCAAACTTTGTCTTTTTTTTTGCCAAACAAACCGTTTCCGTGCATGATTCTTCTTTGTAGTCCTTTGATGGATTGGTCTGATATTTGGTATGCAAGTTTGCCCTGATGAACAGAAAAGAAACTGCTGCAATTTTTTTTGTGATTATCGGACTTTATTCAGACTTATCAGACATTGTCCATTTCAAAAACCTTTTCCGTATCTTTTGACCAATAGGTCTGATATTTGGTATGCAAGTTTGTGCTCATGAATAGAACATTTTCAGAGTAATTGTATAATTGATGCATTTATGTAGGTTATATCAATTTTCCTACTGTTGTTGGATTAATTAAACCAACATTTTTAACCCCCTACTGATAATTATCACCCTTCCCTACGGCTATATCTACTTGCTGAGAGCAACCGTAAAAGTTGTCTCGATATGGCACGTGCAGAGAGCAGAACTTATCAAGCGAGAGCAGAACTTATCAAGCGATTCTCAAAACGTTTAAACAGTAATTACTACGTCAAAATTTTGATAACATATATATGTTATTTAAAAAATGTTCATTTACATATTTTGATTTCAATTAAAACGAAACTATTTAGAATTCCCGAATGAAACGTTCTAAAAACTAGCTGGACGTCGTTCTTATCAGTTCTGCTCAACGTTGCAAAAACGAACGCTACCGTTTCCCTATACAAGTATGTAAAATACCTGTGGAAAATGAAAAAGAAAGATCATTGGTCAATTTTATTAAAATGTAAAGTCATAATATGGATGATGATACAGTTGGTGAAACCAGTATTGATATGCAAAATAACATCGTGTCGCTTCCCGCGCAAAAACGTTGGGAGAATTTGATCGTTGTTAGATTTTACCCAGAAGAAGGGTGATAAACATATTATCTGAATTTTTGACACTGAGATATTGTAAAATATCAACCCGCGCGACAGAATATAAAGCTTTGTGGCTCGTTTGCTACGCTCACTAGCCTCCAAACTTCACATTCTGGCTCACGGGATGATATTTTACTATATCTAGCTGTCAAAATCCCGATAATATATACATATACCCACTGGCGGGGGACACATTTAGCTACTATGTAGCAATGCCAAGTGTTAAGGCGGTGGTTTCAATGTAAACGTTTTATTAACTTGATTATCTCAGACACCTGGGACAACCATATTGGGTATGAAATGGCTTGTCAGCAAGTTGCTTTTCCCATAGCCTTGACCTCATTTTCATGGTCAAGTTGTCATGTTAAGTTTTTGGATAAGAGTTGTAAAAAAAATATGTGATATGTATATGTGCGTCATTCTGGCAATATGAGGATAAACCCAAGGGGAAAATACAAACCCACGTACAGGGTAAATGCGTCAGTGGCAGGCCGGACATCCATCAGGACAGAAAACGGGGGAAACTGACTGGGACAACGATATATCAAGTCGAGTCGACCCAGATACAACGGTTGCTTACCTGGTGGGGAAAGGCAAAAAATCCACATTATGGAATCTCGGAATGAAACCACCCTGCAATTACAGGAACAACCAGTCCACAGATTTCGCAATGATAAGTCTGTAAACATTCCTTGCGGAAAGAACTCCGACCAATCAGAAACAAGTATTGGTCATGGAGTCATGTTTGAAAAATGAGGGAACTTTGTAGAGATTAATGGTGAGTAGTTTCAGAGGAGAAATTAAAATTTAAAAAGTTTAACGGACGAACACAAAGTGATGGCATAAGCTTAGAAATTCTTTTGGGTCCGAATAGCTAGAACGGGTTCCGGCTATAACTGTCACGTCTAAGTAGAAAGAGTGTATATGAGCACTAACCTATCATTTCTAGGTGTTCCAGTCGGAGTTTTGGCAGGCTCAAAAATGTAGATAAGGTTTTCATGTGGTTATGGGATGATTTATGTCAGTTGCTTACCGCAGGTCGGCGGTTTCCTGCGGGTACTCGGGGTTTCTGACCAATAAAACTAACCGTCATGAAATAACCAAAATAATTATGGAAAGTTATGTTGAACCCCATCAAAGTAAAAAATTGATAATGGAACACTAGTATGACACTCTAAAATTGTGTATCAAATTCCTTCAATTAGTTTAAATATCACTACCATAAAAAAGATCAGAATTTAGCTTTCAACGATGGGACACCATTAATCATGGGATAACGGCGATAACAAATTGTTATGCCCCGGGCGCAGTAAGTATGTGTTACTGTAAATTCTGAAATTATTGCGTGCATTTATTATTGCGATTTTGTCATTTTAGATTAAAATGCGATTTAAATTTTTGCGATATTTAGAAATATCCTGTTCATTTCATATAAAAAAATTCAAAATGCGAGTTTAAATTATTGCGATAGTAACCTTGTCGCATTTTTCGCAAAAATAAAAACATCGCAATAATTTCTGAATTTACAGTATCCAGATCACAAGGAGCAGTCTACGTCATAAACTGGTGTTGGCTTGTATTCTATGACGATGGAAGTGTGGTTGTCAGCCGAGAACCAGCTTATCTACGTCATATACCTTTTCAATTTGAAGGGCAAGAAATAGGAAACTCGTTGTTTTATTATACTTATCCTTATATGACAATAACAAATAAACCCGCCTAATTCATCTCGAAATAATTTGGAGAAAACAAATTAAAAGTTTTTAATTATTGTTTAGTGTATTGAAGTGATCATGGCTCCATTATGATGCGGAATATGTTTCGCAGCTCAATATACAAGTTGGTAGCAGCATATGGATCTTCTGGTTTATCCAAATGATTTTCTCTCATAACAATACAAGCGAGATCAAAAACATTTTTGTCACAAATATCTTCAGGAAATAAACATTCCTCCAGACAAGCCTCAACATCCTCTGGTCGAACAGGACATAGGAAATTAAGGGTGTCTTCATTTCTCGGACAGTTGTAGAGTATTACTGGACGGCCATGTACATTCCCTTCGTACTTACACGGTCGGATTTTGTGATGGTTCCAAGTATCTACGACATTCTGGAATTCCCTCTATAAAATAAAAAATTGTACAATCTAATTATAACATTTTTAAATTTTAGAGACAATCAATTTTGGTTATGTAAACGGATTGAAAAATTACATTCATAGATACATTTTCCATTTTGTGTAATTGTAGACTCATCAAGTTGGGCGTAAATAACATCTGAGTAAGGTTCTATTGGTTTATTATAGTAATCTCAAATAAACACCCTGTAACATATAAAACACACAATAAGACACAATACATACGTTCAAAGAACGATAACTCTAATTATAATCTCCATATTAATAAAATAAAATATAAATTATCCAAGTAGTTAACTTCAGTTCGAAATATACCATATTTAATAAAGTATGTTTTACTACAAATCATAAGCATCTATACCAAAGTCTATTTCCGGTAACTGTTCAATATGCAATTCTACAGATATCAATAACACCTTGTGTCAACGATCATTATCTAAAGTAATCAATTCTGATACACTATTCTATTCGGAAATATTCGTAAACTAAACAATAACACATTACAAACACAGACAAGACACGCATTAATTAAAACACATAAGTACAAATAGACAACACGTAAATAAATAAACATGTAAACACAGAACACAGCTTACCGTGTATATAATACAAGGGCTGAGCAGTGCTCCTCTATAAAGTTACTGTATACTCTTATACTTCACATACTGGAATCTGAATATAAAGAAATATGACTTCATAAGTCTAAATGTCAAAACTAGTAAATAATATAGTTAAACTCAATGCAAGACAATATTCTATGCTGAAATCTAATAACAGCCAAATATGAAAAATAATATAATAACTGTAATATTCTTTCTGTCTTGCAAATACCAACTTAAAGTAAAAATATGAACTCTTTCATACTCATGGGAATCAAAGTGGACTTTCATACACATTTTCATAACACATTCATATCTTTTATACCAAGATAAAAATACAGAAATACATGCATCAAATACTAATGTAAAGAATATAACTGACCTGAATATAAAGAATGGTTTCCAGAATAAGAAGAATAAATATCTATAAATCACAATAAAGTGTCAGTGTTCTATATCTCTTGTGTAGAATTTGAAAAGAGTGCCTCAATATCAAAGGAGTTCACAGAGTAACCAATCAGAATAAAGAAATAGAATACCCAGGATGTAAATACCCAAGTGAATAGAAAATCAAAGTACTGTCATACTGTATACTCTGTCAGAGTCAGTCAACAAGTCAATGCATGAACAAATATATACAAATACTATTTATTAACATAAATGATAAAATCAAGCTGTACTACATAATGATACATGTACTCAGTAGGATATGCAATGGTTGGTTGTCCATTGAACAGCAAATAGAACATTAAAGATAGTAATGGTACATAGTATATGTTTATCATACCTTCAAAAGTTTCATGAAACAAAACTGGAGAAGATTTTTGTCGATGAAATCCCCGGTATAAAATCCATCCTTCTTGAAAGTTTGAAACAGTGAGATCCAGAAATCTGTATTTTCTCTTCTAAGTACACTCCACCAACTTTCTATATGCTGGTTGTGTTGGCTAGTACCATATATGAATGTATTCCTATGATCATTTTGATGGAAAAACGTTTGCATCTGAGCTGTGTGTGTGTTTTCTGTCCCTAGGTCACCGCGCATTCTCAACGGTACGCCATTATTTCTTATAACAGCTTTTATATAATATCCGGCAATTACCCGAGGGTCGCTGCTTGTTCTGTTAACATGTAGCCATACAATAAATCTGGAGTAACCGTCAATGCATCCATTAATGCAAAATCCGAAAGGCTTCAGTTTATCGTAAGAATCTAGATGCCATATAAAGTTTGGCCCTTGACCATTATATTCCCGTCTCTTAAGTTTTCGCTTCAATCTGTTATTAACACCACCAGGATTTAAAGCACGCATTAAAAGTCGCACTGTTCTTTTCTTACGGTCAGTCCACTGTGCAAACATTTTAGGTGCATCCAGCGGTATCCATTCAGCTGTGCGGACTCTTGTACTTGTTCATGAATAAACATGGCTACGTCTAGTAGATCAGAGTAATTTTTCCTTCTGTATAATCCAAAGCTAGCCAACATCCTTTTTAGGTGACACAAAGAAATGCCAATCCTGTGTTTTTCATTAAGGATTTGTAATATTTCCTTGTAATTAAGTCCAAGGTGAAAATACACAAAAATAAGTTGATCCCTTTCTTGCATCCTTATTTGCAACACGCTATAAAACACGATTTTACATTTCTAGCGATAGACTTTACATCTCCAGCGCTTGACTTTACATCTTCAGTGCTACACTTTATATCTTCAGCGCTAGACTTTACATCTCCAGCGCTGGACTTTACATTTCCAGCGCTTGACTTTACATCTCCAGCGCTAGACTTTATATCTCCAGCGCTTGACTTTACATCTCCAGCGCTAGACTTTATATCTCCAGCGCTTGACTTTACATCTTCAGCGCTAGACTTTACATCTCCAGCGCTTGATTTTACATCTCCAGCGCTTGACTTTACATCTCCAGCACTTGATTTAACATCTCCAGCGCTAGACTTTACATCTCCAGCGCTTGACTTTACATCTCCAGCGCTGGACTTTACATTTCCAGCGCTTGACTTTACATCTCCAGCGCTAGACTTTATATCTCCAGCGCTTGACTTTACATCTTCAGCGCTTGACTTTACATCTCCAGCGCTTGATTTTACATCTTCAGCGCTAGACTTTACATCTCCAGCGCTTGATTTTACATCTCCAGCGCTTGACTTTACATCTCCAGCGCTAGACTTTGCATATCTCCAGCGCTAGATTTTACACATCTCCAGCGCTAGACTTTACATCCCCAGCGCTAGACTTTACATCTTCAGCGCTTGACTTTACATCTCCAACGCTAGACTTTAGATCTCCAGCGCTGGACTTTACATCTCCAGCGCTAGACTTTACATCTTCAGCGCTGGACTTTACATCTCCAGCGCTAGACTTTACATCTCTAGCGCTAGACTTTACATCTCCAGCGTTAGACTTTACACATCTTCAGCGCAGGACTTTAAAAGACACTTTATAATCTGTGTGAGACCAACAGGGCTCCGTAGGTAGCTCATTCATAAAAAAGCATATGACGCGGGAGTACGATCGGAACAGCCCAAACAATATATTCATATTTTACCACGGGTGTGTACTCAAAGCGTTTGAAGAACGTCATGTTAGAATAAAGCGTTTGTCTTTTCTTGTCTTGTCTTGTAATATTTTTTCTTTAAATAAAACGAACAAAGGGCGTGTGTGCTAGTCTAAAATGACTTTGGTTTAGTTAGAGAGATTGTAACCTCCACAGCCTTTCACATAAACGAATTAAGCTTATCAAACTCTGTCGAATTTTAATTTGATAAATGTCGTGTTTTGATTTTCTTTGAATTCTTTTTTTATTATTCCCCAAAAAAATATCCATATATATCTAGGTTCTCTTACAAAAATTCAAATCAGAACATGTATTGAAACCAACATTTTTTCATAGTCGATTAGTTTTTTCTAACTAGAAAACTTAAATATTTGTGGTAAGAGAGGGCATATTAAGTAAGAATAAAACATTTTCAGAAATAAAATAATTGTTAATTAAGATTGCCAGCATTCTATTTCAAATTTTAAGCATCTTCTTTTATTTGGAATTATGAAGGATGCGGATAGTAACATTCGCATACATTTTAATTACTGCCTTAGAATATTATGTTTCTCTATCTTGCAGTTGTAGTCCATTTATCCGACAAAAGACTAAGGGTTACTGGAGGCAGCCTTCCAGGGGCATATAATGTATCTCAATTTCACTTTCATTGGGGATCAGTCAACAGCCAAGGATCAGAACATAAAATAAATGGCAGACATTCTTCAATGGAGGTATATCATTTGCATTAAGGATTTTTTTTATATTTTGAAAAGTGAATGGTGACTTGTCTTTAACAATGATCTGCAACATAGCCTACATCTTAAGCCTGCCCCATTTTATAAGTGTGTGGGTGAAATTGTTTTGTTATATTTAGCAAACGAAAATGATATAATTGACGGTGTTACTTAAGGATGTTCGCTCCTCTTGTTTTATCCATGTAGTGTTAATAAATATTTTGCCCGCAAACCCCTACTTTTCTTTTCATTATTTTATTACATATAGTCTAAAAAGCCATATTTAAAAATCTTATAAAATCCTTGTTATTTTTTCATAGTTTTTTGTAAGAAAAAATGATGTGCCTATGTTAAATATATATGAAAAATCTAGAGAATCATTTCCCGCCAAATTTTCAATGGCTTATATCTCGAAAACAAGCAAAAAGACCCTTCATTTATTTCTGCTTTGTTATTTCCTTTATTCATATACTATCAATTTATAACAGTCTTTTAAAAAGCTTGTTATTTTGAAACAGAGTAGCGAACATCCTTAAACGTAGTAAAACTTGAAAAAAAAACCCAGAAAAATCCTTGTATCCCCCCTGCAAAAATAACAAGTAAAGTGCAATTGGAAAATTCTTATTAAGCGGTGTTTTAGAAAAAGAGTTTAAAAATCATCGCTACCGATTTGTATTGTGCTCCAAATGTAAAAAGTTAATGTATTGGTATGTCTTGGTGTTGGCAGAGGCTCAGGACATTTAAGAGAAAAAAAATAAAATTATTAGGGGACATTTTATCGTATTCACCTATATTTTCGATGGCCAATTTTAGCGAAAACGTACCTGTTTGGACCATACTCACCATACTAAAACCGTGAACAGTAATTTATGGTTGCTTAATATGTTTGGATTTACAATTTGGTTAAACATAGAAATATATGTTGTTGAGACTAACGGGAAATAAAAGTACAATATTTGATTATTTTTCTGGATACTATAATAAAAATACAAACAACAATATTCAACCTAGACAAGATAACGAGAGCGAAGTTTTTTTTATCGCAATTTTATGAACAGTATTGTACAGGGGGAATACCAAGAGCCAATTACGTATGTTCACTGGGATATAAATTCAATGCTAGAACGGACTTGTGACATTTGAGTTAACTCTAAGGACATTTTGTGCTGTACTTTAATGAACATGATTGTTTTATGTTTTTCTGTTTTGGAACTATATAGATTAAGTATAATGATTCTACTTTGAATAAATTTCTGTTTCTAAAATAGGCATTGCTAATTTCACTTTTCGCTAAAATGGTTCAACAATCTGGCGCAAAAATGGGTTAAACTTTTGCGCTAAAACGTACGATTTTTTTCTCTCGCTTAAATGTCTTATTTATGCGCTAAAATGTCATTCGCCGGCTGGCAGTGTGTTAACGACCTTTTTTCATGTACAATTTATTATTTTAGAAAATACTTTGCACTTATTGAACTATTGCAGAAATGGAAGTAAAATTATATATTTGTTTCTATTTTAGATGCACCTTGTGATGCATTCTGACAAGTTTAAAAGTGTCAAAGAAGCCATGAATACCACAAACGGATTGGCGGTCTTGGGATTTTTCATTGACGTAAGTGAAAGTACAAAGGTTGTTTATCATTTATATTTACAGGTAGCGTAAGTTACCGTTTCCCGACTTAATAAATGAGATATATTTCAATATTCTTACAGACTTTCTGCAAAATCCTCTAACAAAAACCTGTACGAACGGAAAATCCCCTTTTATTGTGATAAATAATACCGAATATTAATGATTTACATGGAATAGCAGAAATGCGCTTTAAATTTAGTTCTTCACATATACCGAAACGTATTCAACGGCGAGTTAATGTCATGTCCTTAAATAATAAATAATTTACAATATAAAGTTTGACCATTTTCTGTTCTCTTTATCATCACCGTTCATTCGAACTTTTTCTACAGTGGCACGTGCACATTGCGTTTCAATAATATCTGCGATCACAATTAATATTTTTATTTACTATTTATTTTTGTAACATTTTAGGTCGGCGACTACAACGATGAGTTTGAATCCATTATACGTAATCTGAGAAACATTCAACACAAAAGTAGGTAGCCTTTAAACATGTTCAAAGTGATTATACACATTATTTTTTCATACACATATAGACACAGCAGTGAGAGATACAATGCACTAAGAAGTAAAGACAAAAACCACACAAAATAAAGAATAATAAGCACACCGAGCGCATTGATAGGACATTTTACGAAAAAGATCGTACGTTTTAGCGCCAAAGTATAACCCATTTTAGTGCAAGATTTTTAACCCGTTTTAGCGAAAAGTGAAATTATCAATGCCCGATTTAGCGAAAGATTTTAACTTATCTTAGCGAAAAGGGAAAATACCAATGCTCATTTTAAGGCCAGAAATTAATTCGTTATAGGATAATAAATTTTGATAGAATCAAGACAGCACAATATAAAAAATATCATGTCCATTAAAGTACAACACTAACAGTCTAAAAGGTTAACTCAAATGTTACAAGTCTGTTCTAGCCTGGAATTTATACCGTAGAGAACGTAGATAATGGACCCATGTTTACCTCCTGTACAATACTGTTCATAAAAGTGTAATAGGGACTGTTCCTTCTCTTTATCTTGTCTAGATTGAAGTGCACTTTCATCTATACCTTTTATTTTGATATATATTGTTGTTTGCCATTAGATGATAGTATCCATGCTATTCCTGGTCTTTCAATATTCTGTCTATTCTATAACGGTAGCGATCACATATTACACTTTTCTTTCCTCTGTTTAATCCAACAGCATTTATTTCCATGATTAACCAAAACGTAAATGCAAACAACTTAAACATTAAGCCAGCATAAATTACTGTTCATTGATCTAGTATGGTAAGTGTTATTCAACCAAGTAGGTTTTCGCTAAAATGGGCTATCGAAAATACAGGTGAACGGATTAATCCTGCGCTAAAATGGGCTCTAATGTCTGCGCTAAGATGTCCCCTAGTAGTTCAAGATTTCTCGATGAAATGTCCTGCGCCCACCTACGTGTACTTCTGTCGTGAATGATAATCCATTCCTTGGGCCATGTCAATGAAAGTATCCTATTATTTAGAAGGGTCTTAGGACGTGTCTGAGACATGTCCTAGGACGTAAACCAAAGCTTTTTTATGACAGTCTTAACTACGATTGTCCTACGACCATCCTAAAACATTTATTTGATTAATTATGCAGAGAATTAAATTGAATATATTTTAATGTATGTCAGTAGATATGTAAATCTTGGGATAGAACTGCATATTTTGTGAAAACAAAATAACGCAAAATCGTAATACTAATAGATACATTATTATATACTATTAAAAATAATGAATAAATTTCATACAACAACTAAACTAAATTGTCACAAAACTTTGTTAGAGACTATTGTCGTGCTGCAATTTAAGCTATATAAACTAGTTTTGTCCTTAGGTGCACTCGATTTCATTACATGTATTGAATATCAGCCTTAGGACATGTAGTAAGAAAAGAAGGCTACATTTTTCTGAAACCGAAATTAAAATGTTTTCCACATTTTAATTATTGTTGTATCATTTGGTCAAATGCAAAAAGCTTTTGCTAATATTGATAGAATTTTTAAGCGTAAAAAAGGACAGCACGAATTATTTTCAATGAGCGTAATAATATGACATCGCCAAACATACTATTTGGAGAGTTGTAATGGATGCCCATTTCAGATTATTTTGTATAAAGAAAAGCAATTTTAGTTCTTAAAGTACTTCACCAAATGACTCCGGAATATCTTAATGTATTTAAATATGTGGACCAGGTTAGTTCTGGAACAATCAGACCAAGTACGTGCAATATCTTTTTGTTGCAAAAAGTAAAACTGAATACTATAAACGCTCCTTGTTGATATCTGGAAGTATTTTGTGGAACAATTTGTCCACAAATTTAAAACAATGTAACACAATTGAATCTTCTGAAAACCACAGATTGAAGAAATGTTGTTAAATTCTAATAACGGTATAATAGTCTGATATTTGTATTAGTATTTTTATTATTGAATTTTATACTTTATGTTATAATATATGTATTAAATTGTAGACTAGTCTTTGGACTAAATGTGTTTTCCCGTTGAAATAAAGAAAATTATTATTATTATAAAATTCTGCTTAACAATGTAAATAAGCATAAATGGATTTTTATTAAGCAAGCCATCAAATCTGGTGACGAATAATATTAAGGAGAAGACATGGGATAGTATGTCTACACAAAGATAAATTCTTTAAATACTGACTGAAGACCATATTTGATGTTTTTATTGAGACATAGGACATCGTATCTTTTAGGAATATCCTAAGACCATCCTACAACACCCATGTATATATCCTAACTTTAGGACTAAATTTAGGACATATATTATCTTAGGAGTCTTTCGTTAACCTGAATCAGAAAGACGTGTTCTCAGATCATCATAAGACTAGCCCTAGTATCAAGACAGCTTCATTGACACGACCCTAGTCCAGTTTATTATGTTCGTGCCTGATAAACTTCTGTATAAAATCACAAATGATCGACAGATAGACTGTCGAAATTTGACATATCAAACAGATAATCATTATCGGAATCACAACAATGTAATTGTCAGCATTATTGAAAAATTTCTGAGATGCAATAGTCATGTCAATTAAAGATATCAATTTCTGATAGACGAATGGAAATTGGCCTTTAGGGTAATGAAGTTGATTTACTACAAATGTGTATTAAAGATAGCGCTTTGATTTAAAGTAGTTAATAAAAATAAGGAATGATACATATAAGGTGATTTACGTTACTAAAAAAAGAGTAAATCTTCTCAAAGATTTGTATAGTAATACTATATACACAAATCCTTACTCTGTTTAGGATTGCATACCGGTGACATTAAATACTCATCAAGCAGCAACAACCTTAGCATCCGGGTACCGGGAATAAGAAAATGTCACCATCGAACCATGCAAAATTCGGTGAAAATGCGTGAGTTATCAAGCGGAAAAGATGATTGTTGGGGATACAAATGCTAATAAATCCAATATATGACAAAACGGTATTCTCAAAGCTCATTCTTTTTTTTTGTTAACATTTCATGCAGCAGTGGTCCCGGATGTCAAGCTTTAATTCCTTCAATGGTAATTTTTCAAAGAGGTGACTGAGCAAAGACATCATGATCTACTTTCTGGTGATATCCCTAGTCAAACGGTAATTAGACTCAATGTACATGCGTAAGACAAATGTTAAGTTTGAAAAGCGTAGATTTTTACGTATGAAACAATATATCCAATTAATAATACAATTGAAATATATTTAATATATTGGCTGTCTTATGTTTTTTTGTTAACCAAAATACAGTAAAAAAAATTAGATCTTATCATTACAATATTAATAAAAATATTTATTTTAATTTAGATGATAGTGTCATAATAAAAGCATTGAGTTTGACAGATTTATTCCCACAAACTACATACTATTACAGATATTCTGGTAGTCTGACAACGCCACCATGTTACGAGAGCGTCATTTGGACTGTATTCGTAAATCACATCTATATTTCACAATACCAGGTAATTAATAAAACAATAAATTAATGAAAAATCTGAGAAACATTTAGATGAAAATGTAAAGCAATACTAAAGGACATCGGTCATATTTTTTTTCTTTTTCAATTAATTCCGAAATAAACTTTCATAAACACACAATGAGTTCATAATAAATGATTACATTGAAGTCTGTTACTCTGGGTCTTAGCTAATTTGATTAATATTAACTATCTCTAATCTAATCGACTTCCTTTCTTCAAATCGACGTCATATGTGACGTCACATTCTCTTATAAGTGTCAAATATTTTGACCCTCTAATTGACGTCCAGTGTGACTTTATGTTTTACCAAAAAGACGTCCTTTAATCGATGTCCAATATCATTTAATAATTCTTTATAAGTTTAATCATTATTTATATTATCTGTAGTAATGTTCAGTAATCGTTTTGTTTCATTGTGTAAATTGCTTAGAAAAACTCATTGTTTTCTTATATCTTTAAACATAAGGAGTCACAATGACTTAGTTGACGTATATGAGAAGGAAGAAAACAGAATCCCTTCCCAAATAATCAACTTAATCAAAATCAAAGGACCAACATCAGTTAATGACAACAAGACAACTACCGACATCATATTACATGTACAATTTAGAATCTTCACACGGTTTCTCTTGCAACTGCAAAAACTGTGATCCGTAGCGCTTAATAGATTTATCAGCCTTTTTGTGGTCTTTCATGTGGTATTCTTTTATCATATGCACTAACTCATTTTTACTCCCGCATCTCCTATGGTAAACAATCAAATCAGCTGATATCCTGAACATTGATTATGTATCTTGGTCATTGAAATATTGACGCAGAACGGTCATCACAACTCTTGTGGATAACTCAAGTTTAAGTTGTAGGTCCCCGTTTGCTGTTTTGTTTCTTTGCATTAGTTATTTACTTATGAAACGGCATGTTGGCCCAATATTTCTCGGCGGTTGGATCTTTCACGCTTATTCCTTTTTTCACCTTTTTTCTCTTGAAACATATTCATCATTAAGAACTGTGTTTTGTTCCATTGTTGAACCATGAATGACGTCTTTTAATTGAGTTGAGACGTCATTACGGCGATTCCATAAAAAAAGGACGTCGATCAGAAAAGCCAAGAATTGGACGTCAATTTGAGAACAAAGTAAAAACAAAACGTAGATTAGAGTAACATAGAATTGGCCGTCAGATTTGGACGTCGATTTGAGGAACGGACGTCGATCTGAGTCTTACATATATATATATATATATTCAGACAAAATTAAATACTTGAGTCTGCATTATACAAAGATTCAGAACATGCAATTAAAATTCTGATTCCTACTTTCTCACACTTCACTCTAGTCCAGTCGTATCGAATAGTTCATATTATATTGTATTTTTTTTATATATATATAATTTGTATTAAGTGCATTCCTATTATGTTTTCTAAATGCATTTTGTGTTTATATTTGTATAGGGAGAGGACGTCACTGATGTTGTTATAACTTGTGTCCAATCCATTTTCAAGTTGCTACTTTTGCAAACAAAATATGTTTATACTAAACTACAGACAATAAAGCGCATAAACAGTGATTTGAGACTATGTTTATATTATATTATGATATGATCTTTGTTTTCTAGGAAGTGTGTTTGCCAGTAAGAATTTGTTTTATACTACGTTTACGATAACATTTATCAATTTATTTCCTTCAGTTGTTTTATTTCTTTATTTTATTTTTTGTAGTTAGACCAATTCCATAGTCTTGGGAAGAATCATTTTAAAGGATCAGAGGATCTGATAAACAACTATCGAAATCCACAACCATTAAATGGTAGAAGAGTCACAACAAATGTGCGGTTGTTATACGGAGAAAGTTAACAGCAGATGAAAGAAGCTATTAAGACTTGGGTTAATTTATAAAATCTCTGATGTGTTCAATTCGAGATTATTGTCATATGTTTTGTTATACAATTGAGAAATATTATCCATATAAATTTGTTTCACTGTTTCTATTTTGAAAAAGCCTTAAACAAACAAATAACCGTAACGTCGTGTCGCATGTATAATAGATCTTTTTCATACATTTTTCTTATTGGTATCTCAGGAAGTATAAATGCAACATAAATAAGAGTTTCCATATGAAGATGCAGTGAAAAGAATTCTACATGCACACACACTTTCATAAATATCAGAAATACCATCAAATTTCGCATCAAACGTGCTTTCAAATAAAAAGAAATCATTTTAGTTTTATAACGTTTCTTTTCATTATGCAATGTTCAAACAGTCAATTGTAGAGACGATGAAAAACTTGCTGGTGTTTCAATAAGGATTTTGTTATATTTTAGATGTCAAAGCTAAATCAATAATTGTATTTAAGATTTTAAAGTAGAATTAAGTAGAGAGAAAAAGGCTTGCTTTAAAAAACGTTATTTTTTACACAACCAAAATACTTGAATGATGTTGACAGCAAAAAAAAAAAATACGACGACCCCTAATATTTGCATATTTAAATTGAAGTGCTCAAAGCACTGATATATCGTTTTAAAAACAAAATTATGTAAATGGAACTTCGAATGATCGTAATTTGAATTGAAAAATGACTATTTTTTGCCGCTTTTTACGTATTTTCTATACGTTTTTAAACCTACTTCACACATTTTTAATTAATAGTATCTCTGAAAGTATAAATGCTGCATATGTCAGTTTTTCGATATTAAGATGGAGTTCAACGAGTTCTAAATTCAAACAAATTTTCATCAAAATCCCACCCAATTACTTATACTTCGCCTGAATAGAAAAAAAATCTATATGTTTTAGAAATAATTTACAGATGTGACGACTGACATATTCATCAATCGACCTCACCCTCTGTTTTTGCTGTCTTTGAAAACCCCATTTTACCAAATATGTGATTTAGTGGTTCCAAAATTACGTCTTTTCTGATAAGACAAAATGGATTGAACAATTTTTTTTTTCATATTATCACATTTCGATATCTTTATAACTACTTCTAACTATGTTCATTTAATTTCATCAAATGTATAACAATATAAAAGTACAATAATTATAAAATATTAAATAATAATAAAATATCCACCATGCTTAAATTGGCAAACGTAGAAAATACAAATGCATTTATATATATCAATTTGATTCCAAATACAGCAATCATACCTAGCAATTTATAAAACAGTACTTTGTATTAAAGGTAAAATTATAAAAAGATATTGTACATCTGTAAATGTTTTACAATACTCTATTAGGAACGATATATCTTTATAATTTTCTGACTTGTATAAGTATTTGTTTGTTCATATGATAAGTGATTTAAAAAAAAAGTACTCACAGAAATACTGGACGCCAAGGTAAATTCAAAAAGGGGAAGTCATGTAGAACCTGACAAAATCAAACGCTCGACTTTGTCAACCGACGATACTAATGGAAGACAACTCTGTTATATTCGTTACAAGGTACAGGCATTTTCTGAAGAACATGCTAAATTAAACCTGGTTTTAAAGCTAGCAAATTTAATACCTCCAACTTGTATGACAGTTGTTTATAGTTAAGGACATACGATACAGTTTTGATCCCATGGTGAATTTTGACGAAATGTTGCTTACCAGCTATTTTTCACCTAGTGAATTCAAATATGTAATAAAAAAAATACCTTTATGTGCTACCATTAGAGATAAATTGGGTAGAAATTTTAGACATTTACTGAACTTTCGGTTTCTTGGACATAACTAGCTTTTTTTTGTTTCAAAAGATAAACGAAAGCGGGTTTTTGTAAAAAACATTTGGAATATCTTCTCTTCATAAGTGTGTTTTGAAGTTGTGTAACAATTCTTTGGAAACAATTCATTTTTATCACTTTTTCATGACTAATAACACGTCATTTTTTGCTGTATATTTATCTAATTTAAAAATAAATAATCAACGATGATTTGTTCATGAAAATTTGCACAAATAATCTTTTATACATAATCAAGCCAGATGTCATTTTAAAAAAGAGGGGTCCATGAGCTCGTTCTCAAGTTAAATCAGTCTGAATGATAAAAATCAGTCGAAAAATGCATCATTTCCCGATATGTCACAGTTTGACGTCGAGAAAAATAACATTTTACGTTAGCGACAGCATTACCTCCCCTGTAACTGAATCGTATACCCTTAAAAGATAAATGTACATGTTGGGAAAAAAAAGGTAATGATAATGATAGATGAGTTTATAACGTCAAGTGGCAAACCAAATGTATATCGAACAAGATACTGTTAATGTGATATGAATATGAATCCTGCTTTGTACTAAACCGACACGCTGATGCGGATTTTTTATGTGCTAGTTCACAAGTTAATAGTCCGAAGGAAGACATATCACCATACCCGGACATATTGTTCTGGCTACGAAACAACCAGTCTTTGCTCTTATCCCTAAATGCTGCGTGAACAGCAAATATCAAATTTTTAAATTCTTTGGTTTTACCCGGCCGTCGATTTAGCCAAATATATCCCGCACTCAATGCGAGCACTCTTCCACGAGATCACAGAGGCGGTTCACATGTAGTTATATTTAAACAACCTTAAACATGAATAACAGTATTGATATCTGTGTGTAACATCTTTAAAAAGCCTATCCTGACTTGTCACAATTAATTTATCACATATGACCTTTTGTATATCTATTTCCGGTTCGGCATCCTCAAAAGTAGTTCTTATATTTCTTTAAAAAATCTCCCTGTTCAACATATTTTTTTCTATCTAGATACGAAAGCAATACATATGTTATCTGAATTCAGCAACAAGAGAGTTTCACCTTACTGTTCAAATGAC